GGGATTGAATCCAGGACCTTGTGCATGCTAAGCACGCAGTCTACCACTGAGCTATACCCTCCTCTATTGTTATTTTTTAACAAACATTATTTTTAGAACACTTCTAGGTTCACAGCAAAGTTGAGCAAAAGGTAGAGATTTCCCAGGTACTCCCTGCTCTCCTGCATCCCCTCCCCTAACCATAGCCCCCCCACCATTATCAGCACCCCTCACCAGAGTAGTTTAGTACCTTAGTTACAGTTGATGAACCTAAACTGACATGTCGTTATCAACCTAAGTCCATAGTTTACATTAGGGTTTATTCTTGGTTTGCATGATTTTTAAAAAGTGTAATCTTTGCTACTAGAATTTTGCTCTAATTTGAGAAACTAAAATGATCAGAAATCCAAAGTTATTTATGGCCTCTTTATCAAACTGTTCTTCACTTCATCTTATAATTTGCCATAGGAATTTAAAATGGGTTTTAAATGTAATTTGACTGTTAAAATTGTGATTTACTTATATCCAATGCATTTGCGTAAGCCAAAGACACCTAGTGTATAGAAGCTAATGTTTCTCGGAATCTGTTCTGAAGGCAGCTTACAAGAAAATCATCTGGAGTGCTGGTTAAAAGTCCTGTTCAGGTCCACACTGCAGATCTACTGGATCAGAACTTCTGGGAGTGGGGCTGAAGAATATGCGCTGTGAACCAGCACTCTAAGGGACTTGGATTCTCAGGAAGGCTTTTGAACCACTGAAAAATGTGTTTTCTCACCTGTTAGAGGAAGGGGAAAGGTGAAGCAGGGAACAGCTTATCACCAATGAAGCTACGATTTTTCTTTTCAATTTCTCAAATGCACCTGAGATGCAGCTGAAAAAGGACAACCCTCTCAAGGGCTAGTTAATGTAATGACTGAAAAACTCAGTATTCTATGGGTGATGAGGGTAAACAGATGGAAGATGTGGGCTCTTTCCATAAACCCCTTCCCTACGGAACGACCAGGTGTTTGCCAGGGACCCATCATGTACCCTGCACTTTCTGTCCCCCTCTACTGGTGCAGGCTGGGAAGGGACAGAGTGCTGGGAACCCTACCTAGTGACGTGGCATCTTTGGAATTTGTTTCTCCTACTTGGTAGAGAGAGTTTCACCTTGTCACCCATTTGTGGTCTTTTCCTAAGGTTTTGGAGGCAAGCAAGGGAAGTAGAAATAGGAGTCGGCAGCCTCTTATACCGTCCTTGCCCAGAGTCCAGATTTAGAAGACAGATTATTTTATCACTAGAAAGTGATAAGTAGGGCTTTTTGCTTCTAGGCAAGGCAGAATCTGACATGAATATGTTTGTTTAAAATGCTCTGTGATAAATGGTTAGCTTTTAGCCTGCTTTTTAAAATTCAGCAAAAATATTATGGCCATCACAATTTCAATACATAGAAATCTACTTTATCCTTTTAACATATGCATGTGATATCCTACTCATGAATGTATTATAATTTTTGTATTTGGTCCCCTATTAAACATTCAGGCTATTTCTGATTTTGTAATTTACAATGCTAAAGTGAATATCTTTTAAACATATCTTTGCATAGCTATGTGAGTTTTTACTATAAGATAAATTAGCTGAGTTAAAGGGAATACAGATCTAAAATTTTGATAGCTATCCATTTATTCAACAGTCATTGACTAAGTGCCTCCTATGGGATTGGCTTAGTGCTTATGTTGAGTGCTGGGGTCACAACAGGTCACAATGATAGACAGACAAGGACCCTGCTCTCATGGAGATTACATTTTGTTGTCAAATTGCTCTCCAAAATAATAAATGATATTTGGTTAATTGACTAGCTCTTTGGAAAACGTCCCCTCAGTACCCTCTCACACCGTTCACAAAAACCAATGGCAATTAAAGAACTAAACATGAAGAACAAAACCATAAGAGGATTTCTATTTAATTATAGGAAAATATTTTTAAAGCCTTAGGATGGAAGAGCTTATCTAAGCTTATACAAAACCCAAAAGCTAAATAGGAAAGTAGGGACAGATTTGGAGAGATAAAAAATTAAAACTTCTAAGCAATGAAAGATAACATAAAATTAAAGACAAACAATAGACGAGAAGAAAATATTTATAGCAGACAATAGACTAATGTACATAATGTGTAAAAGACAACTACAAATTAAAAAATGAGTAGACAAACTCACAAGAAAAATAAGGAAAAAATGATAAACATGCAATTTCCAGAAAAAGAAATGCAAATGACTAGTGGACTTAACTGAAAGATGCTCAGTCTCACTAATGATCAGAGACATGCAAATTAAACCAACAGGTTGCCATTTTTCAGCTATCAGATTAGCAGTAATTAAAAAGGCAAGGGCACACAGAATTTCATTCAAACTCTGTTGTGGGAGTATAAATTGCCTCAGTCTTGGAGAAATTTAGAGGTACTTCTTGGCTTTCTAATTGAGCATAGTTTTTTGACCCAGTAATACTACTTCTAGGAATTTATCTTTCAGAAACACTGAAAGTGTGCCAAAGACAAGGATGTTCATTGAGGATTGTCTGTAGTAGGAAAAACATACAATTAGGAGAATAATTAAATAAATATGGCATCTCACAACATACTTGACGAGGTGGACCTATTTTAACTGATGTTGGCAAGATCTCCATGGTACATTTTTAAGTGAAAAAAAGCAAGTCTCAGAACAATATGTGCACAATAACATTTATGTGAAGAGGATAACAGCCAAGACAGTTTGTGTGTCAATCCGTCCGTCTGTCCGTCCATCATACTGTAGGAGAGTATGACGGGATGAAGAAGTATGGGGATGAGGGAATGGGGAGACTATTGCAATCAAGAAATTGAAAATACAAACTTGGAAAAAGGCATACCAAACTGTTTGTGTGTTTTTCCTTCTAAAAAGTCAAATAATGAAAATTCATCAGAGTCCCTTTCTTTTTCAGGTGCAGCCACGATGTATACAAGATATAAAATAGTAGAGAAGCAGAATCAAACCAGCTACATCAGCACTCCTGTTTTTAACTTGATGTCTTTAGTTCTGGGATTGGTGGGATGTATCGGAATGGGCATTGTAGCCAATTTCCAGGTACGATCTGAAGTTTTCTTGATTATTGGGGTGTTGGGGTCTGTGTGTCTGGAGGAGAAAAGCAAGAACACAGGAGGCTAGCATCGCTCTCAAATAGTTGCCAAGTTTATACAAATGGGGTTGTTTGCTATTTTAGAAACAAATCTTTATCATTTGAAAGTCAGCCCTGCCAGGTACTGGGGAGAGACGGGGTGCACGTCTGCACGATTGTGAGAGACAGCATGCTTCAGAGTCGAGGCTGCGGGCTCTGCATCACTCCGTGTTCTTCCTGACATGGTTTGATGTGTTGGGAGATGTGTTACTTCTGCCATTGCAATGATTTCAGTAACTGCAAGAAAATAGTGGTGCGTGTGAATGTGAGTGTGTGTACTGATTCTACCGTTTGAACCTCTAGTGTTCAATTCAAAGCGGCATCTGATTTCTTCCTTTCATAGATGAGTATACAGGTACACGGAGGTGAAGTAATTTCCTGAGGGTTACTCAGTCAGCTGCAGAGCCAAAATATGGCCCTGCTGGAACAAATTAATGACTGCTGCGGAATCCCCTGGCTATATTCTTGCTGCGTCGTGTGTTTGAAAAAACCCTACTTGTTTTATCCTAATTTGTGGATTCCTTTCATTCTCAGGTCTCTTTCAGGAAGGCATGGGACCTATTTGCCCATGGAGACAATATTTAGTATTTTAAAGATACTTGTATTTCAGATGAATACTGATTATAATGGTACTCACCTCGCAGCGTTACTGCTAGGAGTCAGTGAGACAATGTACGGTGCCCAGCATTCTGTGCTCAGTGGTCGTCATGGTCACCATCGGTCCATCTCTGTAGGCCAGCACTTGGGAGGACGTTGTCCCTTTGTGACAGCAGAAAGGAAGTTACTGCTGGAAGACTTTTGGTCCTGCCCCGGGGGTACTCCTTTAACTTTTTTTGCCTCTAGAAGGGGGTTGATCTTGTGTGATGCTAATTTTCACAAAAAGGTGACAGCCTTCCGTGCTAGTCTACTGCTCAAGTCCATGTCCATCCGCACGCTGCACGCTGGTGTGGATGTGGGAAGCTAATAACCCCACCCCCCACACCACTGCTTTCCACCTGTTCTCTAATGTTTCTTCCTGCATGAAGTCAGACCACAGTCAGAGAGCCCTCGGCCTATCCTGCACCACACGGGCCTCGGGGAGTCACCTTTTCTGCACTGCCCTACAGGGAGCCGTCTGTCGTTGTGGGGGACAGTCTCATAAGCCCTCTGGGAAACCCAGTGCTGTGTCGTGGGGGTGCAGCAGCCTTCCTTTTATGACACAAAATCTTCAGGACAGTCTAGGGCAGGAATGTTCTCTCAGGTCTTGTAGCCATTGGGTTTTTGTTTTGGGGATGTTACAAATCCATAATTACCAGTGTTTCGTTTCCTTGTTAACACTGGAAGCTGGAAAAGGGCGAGCCAAATTTGTAGCCTCCCCGAAGCAAGCGTATAGGGCTTCAAGGAGGGCATCTTGTGAGCCCAGTTTACTTCTGGCTCTGTTTAACATTCCGACTCTTACGTCTCTAGATAAGGAAATAAGACAAACAACAGTAGTTGCCAGTGACATTTGTCACATGGCAGAGACCCTCTGTGACATCTCCTTACGTTTTATGATCTATGTGCGTTTTGGTTTTCATGACAACATTTATTGAAGTTTTCTATGTCACAGACATTTATGAAAATATTTCATGCTTTAACTCGTATAATCCTGGTAACTACCTTAGAAGATAGGTAGTATTGTTTTCCTCATTTATCAATGGAGAAATGGGGATCCAGGAAGGCTAATACTCTCCCAAGACCACATGAGTAATGAAAGGCAGAAGTCGCCTTTGAATCGAAGCCCTCTGCCCAGACCCTGTGGGAAAGGTTAGAATGAGGAAATCCCTGTGAGAAAAAAGTGTGTACACAATTCAGTTCCAGCATCGGAAAGCACGATGGGAAAAAAAATTAAAAAGGGAAGGGGGAGCCCTGGAATGACACAATTTGTCTAGCAGAGCGTGGGCATGAATTGTTCAGTGGGGAACAGTATGCACTGTATGATCCCCATCACGTTATTGTCTGAGTAACTCATCATCACAAGCGATACAGCTCTCAGGGTTTAAACCATAAAGGGTAGACTTTAGGAAGAGAACCTAAGTGGTTAGATCATTAAACTTTTGGTTCCCTTTAAGGCTTCTGTGATGTGATTACATCTTGACAAAAACCAGAAACAGAATCCCTAACTCCTGAGAGCAAAGGGTTTCCTTGTGCATTGTTCCCATAAATATATCTTTACAACTTCCTTGTTTGATGTCCTGTCATTCATTTCCTGCATGCCATGAGCAAACCAACTTGAGCTGTTACCTCAAGAAGGATTAGAGATGTGAGGGCAAGAGAGAGAGCGTGAGAGCACTGACTCCGGTTTTCCTTGAGTGGGACTAAGTGGCATTTATCAGAAGTTCGCAGACACCTGTCTTTCCTGGACTGGCGGGTGGGATGGCTGCTTTTTGGTGTGCCCTCACCAGTCTCTGTTAATGCTTTCCTTTCCCTCAAGAAGTCTCCTTTGTGGAAGAGTCAACTTTTCTGAGGTTGAACCCTCTCAATAGTCTAGTTTTCTCAATTTTTTTTTACTGTTTTAAATTAACAAGAGAGAGTCCAAAAACATGCCAGATTTTTATCTTATCCTCTATCCAAAATTCATGTCTGATCTAAGAGTCATTTCCCTTCTAAAAGACATTATTGATGAGAGAATTTATACTCCACAGTGAAAAAGGCACATTGCGATGGTAACTCCCACTGAATCAAGGGCCTTTAGATCTGATCACGTGGGGTTCATGTGGGGGCCCATGAAGTTTGCAGGTTAGGATCCTAAAGGACCCATTGAATTGGCCAGGGTTGAGGAAGCAAATTTCCTGACAGTGCTGTGGGGTGGGGTGGGGGTGGGGGGAGAAACAAAGTATGTAAATTCCGGGTGTTGATTTTCTTATTAGCATGAAAAGGAAATGGAGAGATTTAGATTATTCCTAAAAAACAACTCATTAGCAGTAGATGCCTTGCCTTGTGTTAATCTTCCTTTGCCCAAATGTGTCTTAACAAAGGGGTGAGAAGGACTTACTTTCTATAGTTCTTTCTTTCTTTCTTTCTTTCTCTTTTGGTTTAATATTGGTTCTTTTCCAGTTTTATTGAGATATTGTTACTGAACCAGGCCCGCTTGCCCAACGCACAGCAAGCCAAACGCTGAGACACCAAGGTTTATGGCTTTGAAAAGAGTATTCACAAGGCAGCCAAGCAAGGAGGCAGAGAACGAGTCTCAGATTTGCCTCCTGAAGGCATGAGGTTGGGGTGTTTATGGGGTATAAGCAGGGTGGTCTAAGGGTGGGAAGAGGTGACTGGAGACGAGGAAAAAGGTGAGGTAATTTGGGCTACATGTTTCTACATATTCAGAGTGGAGGTGCTGGGGGGAGGGTATAGCTCAGAGGTAAAGTGCCTGCTTAGCAAGCAGGAAGTCCTGGGTTCAGTCCTCAGTCCCTCCATTACATATGTACATACATACACACATCTAATTACCTCCCCACCGCCCCAAAACAGGGGCACTTACAGGATCGGAGGGCGGAGTTTTCCAGCATCTGATGTCAAAAGGCCCTTCATCAGATCCGGGTTTAGGGTCTGTGGTCCAAACCAGCCCCTAGCCAGCTCAAACTGGGCGAGCGCTGACTCCAAGTTCCTCTAAAACAACTGGGCTGTGTGAAGTTGGGAAGGCATGTAATTAAAGAGAGGAAAAAAGAAAGAAAAAAACTAAAGTGAACTCAATTGGTGAAGACAGTTTACAAGTAAAGGGGTTTTAATAATTAGCTGTTCCCTTATCTGTTATGTTGTTAAGACAGTTCAAGAATTTCTATTAGTTAATCAGCTTCTGTTAACTCTGTGGGGCATGGTTTCACTATCACTGACACATAACACTGTATTAGTCCAAAGTATACACCATAGTGATTTTGGCGGGGGAAGACTAGGTTTATTTATTTATTTATTTAATGGTGGAACTGGGGATTGAACTCAGGACCTCGTGCATGCTCAGCATGCACCCTACCACTGGGCTATACCCTCCCTCCTCCACAGTGATTTGATACAGGTATATATTGTAAAATGATCACCACAGTAAGCTTAATTAACACAGTTTTTTTCTTTATGATGAGGTTTTGATACCAGGAAATAAATTTCCTTAGTAAATAAGTAAAAAAAATTTTTTTCAATCTCCCCTTCCCATGTGGAGGATAAAGATTTTGGATCAGTTTATTTGTGAACACTCTGGATGAAGAACACCATGGTTCTGGGGAAGCATGAGTGGCTTGAGTCAAAGAAAAGTCCAGGGCATGGGTGTGGATAGTGAACTGGGGTCAGCATGTGCTTGGGGCCAAAACCAGGCTCTCATGGACAGTGCTTCAACTTGCTCCTTTGCAAAGCCTGTATTTTCAAGTTCAGGTGGAGACTCAGGTGGTCAATCTAAACATCACTGTTATGTGGGAAGGCAGGTGCCCAATGCACATTTGAAAGCAGCCTAAATGAGGCTTCTTGTTGGGCCAGTTATGAGCATGTTTGGGGTCAACACCAGACCTTCTGCCTAGACTAGGTGTGGGGGCTGTCTTTTGGTTGACATGGCTGGTTAGAGATGCTGAGGGCTGGGGGCTTGACTGGAAGTTGCTTTTGCATCACGAGAGTAGTGTTTTTACTTAAGATTTGTGTGCTCATTTGGGGTGGCTTGGGAGGGTCAAAGTGATTATGGGGAAGCACAGAGCCTCATGCATACTAAGCATGCCCTACACCACAGAGCTACACTCTCCCCCCCGAGTCTCGTGTACTTTTATATGAAATTTGTTTTACAGTCTTTACTGCAAGCCTGCAAGACAGAAATGATTATGCCTATTTTAGATACAGATATTGTGGTTTAAGGTCACAAAGCCCAGTTGGTGGACTCCATATTTTTTCTCCAGCACAGCCGGACTCCAAAGCCCACCATCCCCAACTCCCCTACCTGTAAGGCGGACGTCACTCTGTCCTAGTCCCATGAACCAAAGTTTGCTGTGGAACAACCATGTTCCTGGCCTTTACTCCAATGCAGGGAAGGCTTTTTTCTCTTGGTTATCTTCTGTAGGCAGCCGCATCTTCCAAAGAAAGGTGGGCATACCTGTGATACCTTTTGGCTTTGAGGAGCCCAGAGTGAGAGAGTGAGTGAGTGCTCTGCTCGAGATGTAGACAGACGCGCGTGGAGTAACAGCATGTGTGTGACTTTGTCTTCTAGGAGTTAGCTGTCCCAGTGGTCCACGATGGCGGCGCTCTTTTGGCTTTTGTCTGCGGTGTCATGTACACACTTCTGCAATCCATCATCTCTTACAAATCGTGTCCCCAGTGGAACAGCCTTTCCACGTGCCACGTACGGATGGCCATCTCTGCTGTCTCCTGTGCTGCTGTCATCCCCAGTATCCTTTTTACATTCGTCAGTGTCCTCTAAAGTTTGACACCCCCGCACCCCCCCCCCGAAAAAACCATGGAGGAAGCAAAGGTTAACAGCCAAGGGTCGACATGCTTCAGAAGAACAGTTGGGAGAAAAGGGTAAATCATTAAGAAAATATCTCAGCATCGTCTGGTTAGATCAAAAGTATCTTTGGGGAAAAGAACATTGTGAAAGGAAAATGGGAAAAAATGTCTGAACACTTCAGTCTCTGTTTACTTTCCTTCAACAGGGTTGGTTTCATGAGCCATGTGAAAATATTTATTTTTCTTTGTAGTGCTTGGCTAAAGACACCAAATATTGATATTGTACTTAAAGTAATAGCCCTGTGGAGTCCCAAGAGGCCAGACTCTCTTCTCTCCCCACACATAGGTGATTAGATGGTTTGATTTACTCGTCCATATTAAGGGGTTTTAAAAAGCTCTACACCATTTATTTCTAAGTAATTTAAGATACATTTTACTTTTCCTTTTTAATCACTGATTTCGTTTTCAAAAGGAAATTTTATTTTTTCTAATTCAACAACGTGAAAAGAATATATAAATTTATCGTGCTTGTATATTCTGATTTAGAAGAAATAAAGAAATTTCCCTCCCTCCCCTCCCCTCCTTCCTTCCTTTTCTTTCTTTCTCATTCTTTCTTTTCCCTTTTTTAAAGAAGTATTTAACAAAGAAAATAAAAAAGCTGTAGTCTTTCCGGGGTGGAAAATTCCCCATCTTTCAAAATGTCATCTGCAGTCATCTCAAAAGCTGCAGTGTAATTAAAAATTGGTGATTATAGTAGATTGTAGGAAAATAGGGACTATTTTATTAGCAGCAGTCATGATTATTGGGCTTGGGCTGTGGTACAAAGTGGGTAAACGAGTAAAAAGATAGCATGTCATCATGTACTTCTAACTGTTAAGCGCTGCATTTCTCTTCTAAAATCAGTTATACAAACTGTGAGGTCTAAGTATGGTTTTGGGCTTTGTTTTTGTTGTTTAGGGAAGGAAATTTTTAATTACAAAATTTCTTAGCACAGAGGAACCAAATCCTAGTATTGAGAAATTTAACAACAAATAGATACCCTGGTTCCTAAGTTAGTTCTTTCTCAGCTTCCTTGTCCTATTTATGGATTGGAGACATTCATGCTTTCTTTTGAAATGTATCACCTTAAAACGTTTAGCTTGTGTTAGTGATAAGAATTATAGAACTATTTATAGTGTTAAAAGCAGAATTTCTTGGTGTAGGAAGCCTTTCCTTGCTTCGAACTTTGGAGACAGATCTCTAGGTAATAAAAAGAGAGAGACTTTTAATAGAATTGGCATTTCAGGCTGGAGTTTCACATACTTACAGTTCCCATTTTTAGGAGGTTCTTATGAGCCAGGCCAGTAGCTTCCTGAACAGAAACAGGTTATGTCCTTTTATCCAATTAACTTGAACAAATTTATCCGTAAGAAAGTATTTTGTCTTAAACATTAGCCTGGATTTATATTTCCTTTAAAGCATCTTTAAAATGCCCTCGTTTCTCCTTCCTGTATTATTTCCATGAAATGGCCTCACTTGACTCATGGAGAAACTGAGGCCTGGAGCAAGGCAGTCTTTAGACTTGTGCTTCTGAGCCCTCTCTGCTAAACCATCTATCTTGCATCCAGCTCCTACAGCTTCAAAAGCCTTCATAAAATCACTAACGACGCAAAGTCCAGGTTCCTTTGCTGAGACCCATAGTCTGAGGCTGCCTATTTCTTCCATCTCAGTTTTACACTCTCTCCCCTCGCCGTGGCTCTTTCCTGTCCTCTGCTTTTGCCCACGCTCTTCTCCTTGGCTGGATTACCTTCTCCACCTTGTCTTTCTAGAGCTGTGGGCTGTCTGTCCCACACGGGAGCCACCGGCCACATGAGGCTGTTGAGCATTTGAAACGTGGCTAGTTTGAATTGAGATGGGCCGTAGTGTAAAACACACCAATCTCAAAGACTTAATAAGAAAAAAATAACGTAAAGTATCTCATTAATAATTCCTTACATTATTACATGTTGAAATGATAAAATGTTTGATATATTGGGTTAAGTAAGATATATTAAGATTAATTCCATGGGACGGGGAGGGTATGTAGCCCAGTGGTAGTGTATGTGCTTAGCGTTCTGGGTTCAATCCTCAGTACCTCCATTTAAAAAAAAGTAATAATAAACAAACAAACAGGTAAACAAACCTAATCCACCCCCATTAAAAAAATAAAATAAAAGATTAATTCCACTGGGTTACTTTTAGCTTTTATAAATGTGGCTACTATAGTAGAAAATTTTAAATTACACATATGGCTGCCCTGAATTTCTGTGGGATGATGCTGTTCTAGAAGGCTCACAACTTAGGTTAAGTTCAGTTTAGTGAAGCTTCCTTAATACCTGAAACCCATTCCACTTTGAGTTAATAATTTTCCCCCGAGTCATCACTGTATTCTGTTCTTTTCTCTCTAAAGCGGCACATTCCCTGGACTTTGTCTGACAAGACTGTGATATTTCTGGGAGCTGAGACCAAGTCTACTTTGCCAGACTTTTCTCTGCCTCCCCATCCGCCTCCCCAGCGTGGTACCTGATGGAACTAAAGATGGGATAAAGAATTAAGTGAAATAATTAAGAGGCTTTTAAACTATTAGAAATAGAAGTATGGTCATGACATGATCAGAGAAACTTCTATGCTTTCTATTTTGTTTTGAGAAACCAAGAAGTGTTATGCATTGGAAAACACGGGAGGTAAGGGGAGGGCAGGGAGAGGGGGTGCTGACTCCGAATTCAGAGGAGGCTCTAAACTTGGCATTGATTGACCTAACATTTTGGATTCCTAACTTTTTGCAAAAGCTTTTAAAGAGCATCTCACTTCTCTCTAGCTGTCTCTTTTGCTGTCTAAGCTCAATCAAAATGGCTGTCACCACCTTTTTGCAGACAGTCTTGTCCATGGTGGGCAATAGCCTCAGTCCCTGGCCTTATTAGGCTGGCCTCTCAGGGTTTGTCCTTCATCCTGAAGGTCAGATGTAGGATGTATCTCTGATTTGTAAACCCTTTGGGCCAGGAAGGACAGGCTCTGCTTTTACCCAGTTACTCAACAGAAATAGTCTGTTTTGTTTTTTTTAAGATAAAAGTTTGAATTTCTTTAGTTTCTTTTTGTATATGAGCCTTGGTACTTTTGTTGTTGTTGTTTTTAATTATTTTTAATGGAGGTACTGGGGACTGAACCCAGGACCTCGTGCATGCTAAGCATGAGCTCCACCGCTGAATTGTTTCCCTCCCCTTTCTTTGTAATGCTTTGGTACTTTGAAATGTTAATTTTTCCTTGAAGCTGTTGCCTTGAACATAGTATTTTAGGGAAAAAGAATTTTAATCAAAAAAGAATTTAATTGAAAAGAATTTAATCAAATAAAAATTAATAAATTTTTATTTAGAGAAAATAGTATTTTAGGGAAAAATACTCTCAAAAGTACACATATTAGACTGCTGTGTCAGTCATTTTGACGAAATTTAAACAAGGTCAAGCAAAATGTAGCCACAGGTTAAAATTTTACTATACATAACTGACAAAGTATTACTATGGAATGACTGTTTCCATGTTGTATTTTAACTACTGTCATAATCAAACTTATGGTTTGAGACGATAAGTCACTGATATAACTGGGTTTGATTGCAGGAATGTTGGTACTAACATTTTAACACTGTGTAATGCTTATATTATTAGAAAAATAGCCTAATCTTAACATTAAAGGACCTATTCTGTAGTTTCCTTAACAATTTCCTTTTTTTAGTGATTGCCTGTGCTTCGCTAATCTCTATAACCAAGCTGGAGTGGAATCCAAAAGAAAAGGTAAAATTTAAGCCGTTTTCAGTGTGATTGTCAAACCTGGTTCCTGGGATTATTTTAAAAAACTTGAATTCCTAATTCTCTCTTAAACCCCTCAACCATCTAGGCTTAGTGAAAGGGGTGGGACATTTAAGGGCAGGGAAACAATGTGAATAAAGGTGTATGGAGGTCAGAGGAGGACCAGCATGTTAACCAGAGAGGATGAGAACAGTGTAGAGGATAGTCTGTATCCAGATGGAGTGAAAAATAAATGTGGTCAGGGGTAAGTTTGCTGGGGAGCAGTTTGTGCAAGGCTTTAAGAGGTGGGCTGAGAGGCTCATGCTTGATGTAGGTGATCAGAGTAAGTCTTTGAGGGGGAGGGTATAGCTCAGTGATAGTGTGTCCTTACCATACATGGGGCCCTGGGTTCAATCCCCAGTACCTCCATTAAAATAAACAAGTAAATAATTAACCTAATTACCCCCCCCTACCCCCAACAGAGTAAGTCTTTGAAGGCTTTTGAACAGGAAAGTAAACTGAAAGGATATTATAGGATGAATGTTAGTCAGACGCAACACCTGGGATGGACTGAAGAGCCGTGAGCCCAGGATTAGGATGGCAGTGAGAAGGCAGTTCCACGAATTCAGATTTCAAATCAAGATTCGCCTAGATTGGAAGCAATAGCATGAGAATGAAAGGATATGATGAAGTGAAGATGACTTCCAAATGTTTGTCTTTGGTGAACCAAAGAACTTGTTCTCATGGACAGAGACAGATTAGGTCTCTAACAGGAATAAATGATTGCGTGGGGGGAAGTGGATGGATCTGGTTTTAGAATCATTGAATCTGAGGCTGCGGTGAAACATGGAGAAGAAATGTCCAGTTAGACATGGGGGACTAGACGTCTGGTAGGACTGAGAGCCATCAGAGCATAGGGTAGAGGGACTGGTAATTTCCAGACCAAACATCAGAACACATGGAATCAGATGTCTGGAACTGGATGGACTCATGCCGGGTGCTCATCAAGACGCAGTACAGGAGAATAGATGATGCCCCAGGAGAGAAGGGAATTAGAGAAGAGCAGTCCCCCTCGCCCAAGGGGCAGGTGGAGTTACTGGTGTTATTCAAAAAGCAATTTCAGTAAAATGTCAGAGTTAGAAGCCAACTGCAGGAGGTTAAAGAAACAGAGCAGTGGTTCACTGTGTCAATCAAATGTTTGGAGGAGGAGAAACAAGATGCTGGCTACACGGGACAGCAGGCTCAGAGGAAGGATTTTCCACCACAGAGGATTCTGGCATGTGATGGGAGCCTGCAAGAGGCAAAGGAGAGAGTGAAGCTGGTGAGGACAAGAAGGATCCAGACAGAAGTGCTTGGTGAAAAAGGAAACCTCACAGCCCAGCAGCCCTCGATGTACTTTACTCTTGAACCACTAGAGGGAGACCTTCCACCACAAACCAAACATTAGCTGCTGGGAAGGATTCATCAAAGCATATCCTCAGACAGTTGAAAAATCTTTTTCATTTCATTTTCTGTCTTAAAAATGTGAAAAGTACCTGGTTTTCTATTCGCCACATAAATTACTGTGCCGTTCTTATATTGTCTTCTGTTCCCAGTATCAACGAATGCAAAGAAAACTCTTTACCTCCATTCATGGAATAGAATGATCACTTAGGTACTGCTCCAAAATGTGGAGTGCTTCAGAGCTTTCACAACACATTCCTGTGCACTGGTAGGGAGGGTGAGAATTAGGATGTCACTGTCTCATTTTATGTAGCAAGGAGATTAGAGCTTTGCCTGCATTCATACACGTACAGTGGAAGAGCCTGGACCCTTGTTTCAGGGCACTGTCATTGATATCATGCTACAAATATCCTCCCCCTACCCCCAAATTCTGCTTGTTTGTATAAGCCATATTCATTGCCAGGGATGACAGAGGATGGGGTGGATTCCCTAGTGCTGGCACGGAAAGGAGGTGGCCTCCATTCTCCACCCCTGTAATGTAGGCTGGGCAGATTCTCCCCAGGGTGACCTGGACGAGAACAGTGGGTGGATGACCGTCTGTGGGTAGAGGGAGCAGTGCTGTCTCAGAGTCTGATGCACCTCGATTAGATCTTTGTGGGTGAAAACTGGATCAAAGAAAAGAACTGACCTGCAATCTTGCACATTCGCTTGTTCACAACTGTAACCTGTAGCAAAGCAGACAGTGAAGTAAGCAAAAAAATATATAGATTATAATTTGAAATCAGAGGGCACAAACTGATGATAGTCCACAGGCTAATTTGACATGTGGGCTAAAGTCCCTATGCAGACACCCATCCTTTACTTAGTGTTTAAAATGCTTTTGAAGTAGTTTCCAGCATGTAATTAAAAATCACGAGATTTCTCTCTAGCTGTCGCACTCGCTCGCTCGGTCTCATACACACACAGCAGTGGTGTCATATTTTCCCATTTGGTGAAAATGGAACTGAGCTGCTGATGTGTGAACTCCCCATAGTTCCTCTCTTTTTGCAACCATCAGTTTCATTTCTTTAATTATTTTCCTGTCCTCAAGGCAGCTGACTTTAGAACCCTCAATTAAAGCCATTCTCTTTCCTGCCTTCCAGTCTCTCATTTCTGTCCCCAAGAAGACAGTCGTCTTATTAGCATTTGCTTTGTAGCTGTGCTTACGTTAAAACGCCAAGCAGACCTATTTTCTGAACTGATGATACATTCTCTTTTTTTTAGTGGAAAAGTATTATTTTATTTTTTAACATTTTTTATTGAGTTATAGTCATTCTACAATGTTGTGTCAAATTCCAGTGTAGAGCACAATTTTTCAGTTATACATGAACATACATATATTCATTGCCACATTTTTTTTCGCTGTGAGCTACCACAAGATCTTGTATATATTTCCCTGTGCTACACAGTATAATCTGGTTTATGTATTCTACATTTTGAAATCCCAGTCTGTCCCTTCCCACCCCCTGCCCCCTTGGCAACCACAAGTTTGTATTCTATGTCTATGAGTCTATTTCTGTTTTGTATTTATGTTTTGTTGTTGTTGTTGTTTGTTTTTTTTTTAGATTCCACATATGAGCGATCTCATATGGTATTTTTCTTTCTTTTTCTGGCTTACTTCACTTGGAATGACATTCTCCAGGAACATTCATATTGCTGCAAATGGCATTATGCTGTCGGTTTTATGGCTGAATAGTATTCCATTGTATAAATATACCACATCTTCTTTATCCAGTCATCTGTTGATGGACATTTAAGCTATTTCCATGTCTTGGCTATTGTAAATAGTGCTGCTATGAACATTAGGGTGCAGGTGTCATTTTGAAGTAAGGTTCCTTCTGGATATATGCCCAGGAGCAGGATTCCTGGGTCATATATAAGTCTATTTCTAGTCTTTTGAGGAATCACCATACTGTTTTCCACAGTGGCTGCACCAAACCACATTCCCACCAGCAGTGTAGGAGGTTTCCCTTTTCCAAACCACAGCCTCTCCAGCATTTGTCATTTGTGGACTTTTGAATGATGGCCATTCTGACAGGTGTGAGGTGATACCTCATTGTAGTTTTGATTTGCATTTCTCTGATAATTAGTGATATTGAGCATATTTTCATGTGCCTATTGATCATTTGTATGTCTTCCTTGGAGAACTGCTTATTTAGATCTTTTGCCCATTTTTAGATTGGGTTTTTTGTTTTTTTCTTATTAAGTCATATGAGCTGCTTATGTATTCTGGAGATTAAGCCTTTGTCAGTTTCATCTGCAAAAATTTTCTCCCATTCCATAGGTTGTTGTTTTGTTTTGCTTATGGTTTCCTTTGCTGTGCAGAAGCTCATTAGTTTCATTAGGTCCCATTTGTTTATTCTTGCTTTTATTTCTATTGCTTGGGCAGACTGTTCTAGGAGAACATTTTTGAGATGTATGAACTGATACTTTCTATAGTAACAGAGAAACACAAAACCCGGGGGTGACAGCCAGCCAGTTTCCTCTAGACGCATACATGTGGTCTTTGGAATAACCGCATGGACAGTGGGTAGGTGCTTTTCAAGCCTTTCAACTTTGGGATTCCCAGTAGTGGGAAAACAAGTCATACCTGGTGTGGAAATTTCTTCTGTTGAGTCCCACTCTCAGCCATTTTGTGGTCCTTACTCTGCCATTTGAAGTTACACAGACAAGTCTTAAAGCCAGAGTGTGTGAGAACTAGAACTTTTGGGGTAACTGTATTCACATTCTCACTGCACAGCTGCAGCTTCCCTGACAAGCATCAGCCTGGCCTTGTTTACTATGTTTCCTCCAGGGTTTGATTTATGTGTACTGGACCGCTTTTTCCTCTGGTCTTACCTGCTTTTATTATTTCAGTACGTACACTAAAGTGAATGCATTTAGGCTAAATTCTGCTTCTTTTTTTTGTTGTTCATAGGATTATGTATATCACATAGTGAGTGCAATCTGTGAATGGATAGTGGCCTTTGGTTTTATTTTCTACTTTTTAACATTCATCCACGATTTCCAGGTAGGTATTTATTCAGGCAAGTGTTATACGTTCCTGATGGTGAGAATTAGTAGAAGTCTATAGAATGCTTCTTGCATTTGAAAAAAAATAAGAGTACTATCTTTTTTTTTTCCACTCTTACGTGTTTTAAAAAGTATGTAAGTATTGTGCAATTTAGTGTATTCCCAAAGGAAAGCATCATGAATAGCTCTCCCAAACAATGAAATGTTCATCTGTCCTCTGCCATTTGATGCTTCTAAGTCATAGATCCTGGTTATTTTGTGTGTGTATGTGAGGAGGTCTCATGAGTTCCAAATAACAGGAAGTATGTCTTTTTTTAAAAAAATTAAAGTGTGTTGTTCAAAAATGTTCCCAAGGCAGAGAGAAGGTGGGACCTTGTCAGATTTGGCAGCAGGGGAAATCTTACATTTTGAAACAAGTGAATTATGAGCTCAAAAGTTACAGAAAGCCAAGAAAATTCTTGAGGACCCAGGTTAAGCTCAGTACAAACCACAGTGAGATCACCTCTGAGGGGATGCAAAGCCTTCGGGGGTTTCATTGCTGGCCCTGGAATTGTTTACCTTCTTTAACAGCTTCCCCCCCTCCCTTTTTTTAGAATGTTACCCTAAGGATATCCACAGAAATCAATGGTGATGTTTGAAGAAAGAAGAATTCTATCTCACTCAACAAAAGTGGCAAACAATTTCTAGAAGTGGTACAGAGGACAGACAGGGTTTTAATGCTGCCCTGTGTGGAATTCATCTGCTGCATATCTAAGACTTGAAATTCTTTAAGAATTCCCAATAGTTGTACCATTTCCAAAGGTATGTTTGCCTAGAGAATGTGGAGCATTTATGATATTGTAGCAATGTTTTTATAATTTTCTAAGTAGATACTTTTTTATATTAACAAATCCATTACAGAAAAGATAAGGTATTCCAGAAAATGGAGACCTCTTATTTTTGTACAGATTCTGTTATGTTTTTTCCTTTGTGTGTGAGTAATTTATATAACTACACTAAAAAATGAGGAATTCATTAAAAAGTAAAATCAGGGGATATTCATTTTAAAATTTCGTTTTTAAAGAATGAACTGTATAATTTTTATATCACAAGTGCATGTATCAAATTCAATTTATAATGATCATTAAGATTTAGTTAATAAACTAACACTAAGATACTATGATTTTTTTAGATGAACTAAGCATAATGCTTCTATTGAAAGGCCTTAATACCACTGTGCATATTAACTTGGTCACCATGAAGACCTCAGTTTTGAAATTCCGTCCCTTATGGGCCTCCCTGCTCACAGAGACCAAGCTTTTACCCTTGCTGCTAATTGGCAGTCTGTAGTTGTGTGATTCAAGGTGGGATGGATTCAGCAAGGCAGGTTAGAAATTAAAAGCCTTATAATGAAGGTGAAATGGAGGTGAGCAACTAATAGGAAAACCCCACTGGATTCCAGATTGTTGCTTTTCTAGAGGAGTGAGGAGGGGAAGTGTGTCTCAGGGAACATCCATGGAAGGCAGGATTATGGGAAGGAGACTTTTGCTTAATACTAAGTCTCTGCAAAAGCCACCCTGCGCGAAGCATTACAAATACCACTTAGAAAACCATCCTGTATTGTTACTGGCATACCTTGATATACCATCTGACCCAGAGGCTGCAACTCACATCTCGAGTTCATTTATGCCAGTCAACATGTCGATGGGAGTGCAGGTCTGAGAGAGGAGAAAGGTACAGGATATAGTTTATTTGCTCCTTCTCTTAATGCCTGTGGCTGGATGTTTGCACACTATATGAAATGTGAAGCAGGTCCTTTGCTCAGCAAGACCTCCACGCTCCACTTTTCAATGACAAATGAAAATGACAAATCCCAAATGACAAATGAAAAGCAAGACATTCCAGAGGAAGACAAGGGCCTTGAAATGTGAAGGCTTAGGTTTGAAAGCTGAAGAGAAGGAATTCTCCTTCAAGGACCTTCCAGACTATAAACCCGGCCAAGTGGTCTTGTGACTTTGAGGGCACAGGCCAAGGGTGGAGCAGCCCACCTGGACAGCCGTGGAGGGAGGGGTGAAGGGGTGAGGCTCAATAGCGGTCAGCCACCTCTGCAAGGACAAAATGTGTCTCCCCTAAGGGTTCAGCATGAGAGCCTGATACCCATGTCTGGGTTTGCTGTGACTTGTTATAATGCTGTGGCTCCCCATAACACTGGAACTGAAAGCGATGCCAAGCATTCGCTATTCTGGAACGGGGGAGGAATGCCACATACCTTTACCCAGGAACCTGCAGCAGAATGAATCCACGGTTGGGTCTCCTTTGGATCAGACTTTTGTTATCAGCACTTCTCATGCTGCATTGTCATTCTTCATTTCTGCATCTCTCTGGGAGCTCGTTGAGGGCAGAGTCTGTGCCTTAATCTTTAATTTTGTAACTCTGGCATTTACCTCCTGGAACAAAGTAGGTGCTTAATAAATACTCATTGAATGCATGAGTGAAGGAGTGAGCAAATGAAGGAATGGCTGGGGATGGTGGTAGGGTTGCATAATGAGATTTACTCTGGTTTACTGGTTAAGTGATAAACAAATAGTCTGTATCACCTTGTAATGTTGACTGTTTTGCTTTTGTGTGCTGTAAATGTTTTAGTTGTTTGGGCTTCTCCATTCTATGACAACTCTCTTCAACCTGGACAGTTACCACAGAAATTGTTACATGGGCTAGACAAAATGGTATACCTGGCTTGGCAAACTGAGAAGGCCAAAAATCACTCCAGATGATCACGTTCTGCTGATCCCATGAAACTTCTAAAGCTGGTCTCCATATTTTGGTATTATTTCTAATGTCCATGAACTTGCATTTCCTTGGACCTCATGGCTGAAAGAGTAAAATAAAATGAAATATTTCTTTATTTTAGTAATTTGTGTCTCTGTTAAATTACAACGTGTCAACGGGGTACTACTGTAAAGTGTAGTTATCTGGGAAAGGATTCTAGCTCCACTTGGACTTTGTAAAGGTATAGTTTAAACCTTATGTTTTCTTAATTCATGTAGCTTTGCATTAGTATAAGATTCTTGAATATTAGTATCAGAAGCTTCACCAGATATCCAACTTAAATTTGTTGAAGGAAAAAGGGGCACCTATTGACTCAAGTAACGGAGAAGTCTAGGGGCAGAGCAGCCTTTAGGGATGGCTGGATTCAAAAGTACCACTAGGACTCCATCTATTCTCTCCTCTCAGCTCTGCCCTTCTCTCTGTTGGCATCATTTTCAGGCAAGCTTTCCCCTAGTGGGAGTGAGATGGCTTCTAGAAGCCCCAGGCTACAGACTGTCCAGTGGAAGGAGAGGACTTCTCAATCATTCCCACAAAAGCCCTCAAGTTGAAACATTGTCTCTGAATTGGCTGGCTTGGGTCACATGCCCATCCTGTAGCCCAGGGAGGTGTGATGCTGTGATTGGTCAGACCAGTGTCTCATGTCCACCTCTGGAGCAGAGAGGGGCAATACCATCCAGTCTACTGGACTGATGGAGTGTGAAGTTGTTTCTCAGAAGAAAGGGGTGGGAAATGGATTTTGGATAGACACAAAGCCGCAGATTCCACTATGGAATCTGTTTCCTCTGACGCAGCAAGTCAGAAAAACCAACCCAATTTGATTCAGAGTAAACTAAATGATACCTGCTGCCAACCTTTTCAGTTAAAAAAAATAGTACATGTAAGCTGTGTAGGTAATAAATGTGCCTTCAGTTAATTTCAAAGTTATGTTTATACTTTTTCCAGCTTCTTGTGTTCTTATTTAGCCTCTGTGAAGCTGGTCAGGCAGTTAGTTGTCACGTGTTTCAGATGAGGAAACTAAGGTAAAGGAAGAGAGAGGTTCAGTGACCTGTAAGCAGTTTTACTTCTGGACGGCAATAGAGTCCAGTCTGGGACTCTTGTTTTCTTGATTTATAATCAAGTGCCTCTTTTTCTTTTCTTTTCTTTTCTTTTCCCTTTCCTTCTTTCTTTCTTTTTCAAACACTAACAGAGGATTCCACAGAAATTGCATTTCATAAACCAAATTAAGTACATCAGTGTTGTGCTGTGTTTGGGTTTCCTAACATCCCTTACATGTGGCGTGGTCCCATGTTCCCATTTTTTACTCAGTTGGAGACACACTGGTCTGGTGTTTGGGCCTGGAATGAGGAAGGGGGTGTGGGAGGGAGATAAGTGGTCTCCATTCTCTCCCACTCCCTGATTCTGGCAAGTCTGTAAGCCCAGCCGTCTCCCCACACACATACTCTTGGTCTGGCTCTGAATGTCCCACATTCTCAAGGCCAGAATGTCATGCATCTGCGTCCTGTCTGTTGCACAAGAGAGCAACCACAGCCTCAAGCCCTGGAGGAGAAGCTTCTGACGCTCCTGGGTCGCCCCCAGCAGATTCATTTTCTAAAATGAAGGGCAGCAAGATGCCAAACTCATTTTGGGAGTGGCGGTGACCTCCAAAATCGATGCTTGGAAAATGCAGAAGGGAATACCAGCAGTCTGCGCTGTGGTTTGGGTCAGGGTGCTATGAGATGCCTAGTCAGCCTGCGGCCTAGGCAGTCCCTCAGTGGTGAGCAAAGCCCTCCATCCCCAGAGCCGGCTCCACCTCTGGACTCTTCAGTTACATGAGTCTCTTTCTAACTTCGGTAAACTTGAGCTGGATTTCTGATGCTTGTTCCTGTAAGAGCCTGGCTGATACAAACGCCCAGGAGTTCTCCTAACATGCAAATACAGTAAACCATTGTTATCTGGACTCAGTGCAGGGGTGAAAAGATAATTTCTAGATAAGTGGGAATTCAGCTGCTTCCATTCACAGCCCTGACTCTGAGAGCCATGTATTCTTTTTAAAAATTTGAATCATATATATTGATGTGATTCAAAAATCAAAACAATATAAAAAGGTACTCTGTGAAAGGCCTTTGTATTTTCTTCTACCCACACTTACTTCATTCACCCCTCTTCTTGGCGGTATCCTCTTTTTATGAAAATACAAGCAGAAACACACATTTAAAAATGTTCCCTTTTTAAATTTCTACACCAAATGAAGCATACCTTACAGACAGGTGTGAGCCCTCCTTTTTTGACTAAGCAATGTATCCTTATCAATACATGGAGAGCGTCTTCCATTTTTCAGTTTGTTCTGTTTTACACCTGTACAGTATTCCATTGTATTGGGTGTGCCACCAGTTATTTGACAAATCCCCTATTTGATGAGCAATCCTGTGGTTTCCAAACTTAGCGATTACAAGTGAAGGACCTTGTACATACAGCACTTCACACACACGCAAGGAAACCTATGGGAGAAATCCCCATAGTAAGAATGCTGGGGCGAGAGGGAACTGCATTTGTAATTTGACAAATACTGTTGTTTTGCCTTTGGAAACTTTTTACTTGAGCATTCTGTTGTTGTTGGAAAATCCAACTATTTTACCCTTCCATCTAAACTGAGGATGCTGATTGTAAGTTCACCTTTTCTTGGCAGCTCATTCATCACGTGGATTCTGCAGTGCATAGTGTGGGACAGAGGCCAGCTGACTGTGTCACTGTTCTACAGACACCCTCCTTGCTCTCCCTTTTATCTAACCTCCTGGGCAGGGAGGGTGAGGCTGTTTGCTCCCCTCTCTGCAGATAGCAGAACTCCACTGTCTTCTGCCTCCTCCCCTCCGACGCTCACTCTCCTTTCCATGGTCAAGAGCATCTCTGTCTCACTTGGGTTTTTCATTGTGATCTTGCACTTTTGTCTCTGCCTCTTCTAACCTTATCCCTTTTCTACACCCACTTTCTATTTTGGTATCTCTTTGAAGGGTGGCTACTTCACTCACACTTCCTTATCTTCTGAGAACATTTTGCTTTTATAGACATCAGTCATCAACCACAATATTCCCTTTCTCCTTTCTGGTAAACGGACCCACTACAGAACCAGGGGAAATCCACAGAACTTTTGGCCCTTCCTGGCCCTGTAACTCGGTGATCAGTGTGGAACGACCCAATGAGCTGGGGACGGCAGCAGTGTAGCAGCCAACACAGAGAGAGTTTCTCCAGCTTTGAAACATTTAAGAAAAGCTTACTTAGATATAATAGGCTTTAATTTTGCCTGAATGACTGTTAATGTCATTTTAAAAATTAAACTTTTTACAGCAATTTAGGTTCACAGCTGAATGAAGCAGAAAGTAGAGTTCCTGTATACCCCCAGCTCCCGGACATGCACAGTCTCTCCTACCCACACCTGAGCGCTATGTGAGTTATGACTGATGAACCCACACTGGTACATCAGTATCACCCCCAGTCCACTGTATACCTTAGGGTTCATTCTTGGTGTAGTGCACATTCTATTAGTTTTGACAGATGTATAATGGCATGTGCCCACTATTGTAGTATCATACAGAATAGTTTCATTGTCTAAAAATTTCTTTTGTCATTTTGAAAAAGACAATTGAGATTACCTATGGACAGGCAGCATGCAGTTTTTTCAGTACAAGGTATTCAGGAACTTCGCTTAACATTTATCTGCTTAATTTTTTTACCTGCTTGCATTATCACTCAGGGTCTGTTAACACTGATGAACATCCAAACATATCAAAGATGTTGTGAGAATGGGAAGTTCCTCATAATTATCCCCATTTTACTACTGAGGAAATTAAGGTGCATACTGTGAGGCTGTCACCAGGTAGGTACCAAGTGATGGGGCTGGGACCAAACCCAGGGCTGTGACTCCCACAGTCAATCTTTTCCAACAGGGCCATGTGATTATCAACAATTACCATTTGAGTATGAATTAACTTGTTAGCTTTTATAGGATCATATAATAAAAGGTTCTGAGGAGTGAAATCCCTAAACTGGCAAGTTTAGAAAAATGGGTGAAATATCTCTTTTGTTGCTTCAAAGAGTGAGTCCTGGTTGAGCTCTGTGCATGCCAAGACTTGGGGGGCAGGAAGTAGGTACTGGGAATCAGAAGTAGAAACAGAATAGAGAGGGCTTGTGTGCCACACCAGTCTTTGGCAGGAGTTTGAGATCAGCTCTCCCATGGCCATGCATGGCCCATGAGGAGGAACACTGATGGCCAAGGATTCCACTAGGCACTGAGGCTGGGGGTTTTGGGCTGGGGTACTTTCAGTATGATTAAGGGTCTGGTGGCTGTTAGGACTCAACTCTTAGTATCTTTTGCTTCTGGTTGGTGCATTAAAGTGGACCTGGGGTTAGAAACATCTGCTTTCTACTTGTCAATGGGAAAGTCATGGTGGGAAACAGAGGAGAGACCACTTATGCTGTCCCAGGCTGGGTAACAGAAGTCCTCAGCATTCACACTCATCAGACAAATGGGTTTGGTGTCTGACTTCCAGCAGGTGATGTAGATGTAGAGTTCTCTGAACCTCCTACAGCAGCAGGAAGCAGAAAAAGTCTCAGGGCTCGGAGTCATGGGTTCTAGCTCTCTTACTCATCAGGCTAATATTAGCACAAGTGATAGGAATGCTTGTAAGACAAATTTCACCTTCTTGAACAGTCCTATTGCTCAGGGTCAGCCCAGAAAAGCAAGTTCCAGGTACCACCCAAGACATCTGATTCAGGGTGAAGAGTGATGTAGCTAGAGTTGGCCAGCGATCTGACAGCTGCTAACATAACCTTTAACACATGTATTAAAATGAATACTGAGCATAGTTCAGTCTGTCATTTCCTCTTAATACTTGAAAAGCCACAGTTTTGTTTGGAAGTTCCCTCAAAAAGCTCTAGTGGGTGAATTCATTCTTCGGCTTGACTGCACTTGGAACCCTGAAGTCAGAGCCACCTTGAAACCGAAACTGGGAAAATCCTGGGTCTCTGACCAAAAGAAGAAAAGGTATGTTCTGAGGTTTATTAAATAATTACCCAGTTGTTGACACGTTGTGGGGGGAGGAAAAAAGCCGA